CCCCAAAACCCCAAAACCCCAAAACCCCTAGAGTGAGTCACTTGAATAAAATTTGTGATAAAAGAATTATTGTCTAAATAAATGTAATATTCAATATTATTAAGCCTTTAAAGGTTTATTGCTTTTTAGACATCATCAAGAAGCGAATGGGATAAAAAGTATCAATTTGCACTAGCAATCTTCCAAAAAATCGTGACTAGGGTCTCTATGAAGATAACACCTACAATAGTGCTGATGAAATCAACTCTTAGTAAAGCACCAAGCCTCGCAAAGGTAAGTTAATAGCCTTGCATATTCTAGATATGGCTGAGATCCAAGAATTTTCGACCGAATAATTTAAAAGTAATCTAATAAAAAGTGTTTATAGGTGTAAAACCAATGCCTAACCCTAATAAAAGATTTGCTCAAGCTGATATGAAGCCAAAGGGCTTAATGGGTAAATTTTAAGGAGGCAGAATTGGCAAGAAAGTGGCAAAATCTTTCAAAGAGGACAATAATCAGGATAGTACAGGTTTAGATACACAGTCAATGTAAGATTTGTTCTAATAGATCCTGAATAGATTTAAAACCACAGATTCCATTACACAATCCCTAGATTTTGGAGCACTAAAAGGCTTGCTGCCTCCTTGTGGAGATTATCAGAGACACATAGACTCCTTGAGAAATCAAAAAGCTATGAAAAGTAAGTGCTAAGTTACTATTTTTGCAGCCACAATATTCCTATTACAAAAACAGTCACTTCTATCCAACTTAGACAGATTTTAACTTTACATATTAAATAGTCAGGATAACTTGGAACTACGGTGGAAAGGAGGTATACATTATCGGATCATTTACGAGCTGGGAGTACATGATCAAGATGCAAAAGAACGTTTTAGGAATCACCCCAATATTTGAAATATCTATGGTATCTTTTGATTAAGTAATTCATTATCTAGTATGTTAAGGAAGGATAATACTACTATTACTTCATAGTAGATGGCAAAGTAAGATTTGCCCCAGATTAGCCTTCAACTGTCGACAAGAATGACAGGATTATCAATCTCATCTAGATTGATAAGTACATGATTTAGAGAGCTGAGTAAGAAAGAGACAACAAAGTCAAGAATATGATGGACTGCTTGGCGACAGAAAACTCATGGTGCCTCTCAGAGAATTTTGAGAGAGACTGCAAGGAAAGAGGTCAGATGAAGATTGATGACGACATCAACTTCGATTTGGATATTGTCACACACAGTGACGATGAAAGATTCAGACCCGAGCCCTGCAATGCCTGTGAGGTCTCTCAGAACGTCCAAAATAAGTGGGACTAATAAGTCTCGCCAAAGTTCAAAAGACAAACAACAAATATTGTTTCTCAGTAAACAATAGGATAGAAGGAAAACAACCCTAGATAGTAAACTACACAGCTCTCTAGAAATTTTTCCATTTACTTGGGTATTGAGCCAGAGAAAAAATGCGCTCAAAAATTCATCAAATTCTGTCCCTCTTCCAGTTATATTGGAAAGGAGACTTTAAATGAAATATCTTAAGTATCCGCTGTCTATAATTGAGACATAAACCAAATCTTATAGTTTAACTCTGTAAATATTTGAACGAATGGAAATGATAAGAACTTAAAAAGTCTATTTAACTTTTAATTTTTAACTTTAATAAATATCAAACTTAAATTATATAAAATGAAGTAACAACACTATTAAAAATAGCTCACAGCATTGCTAGTCATCCTATGCCTATCACATTTAATTGTAGCAGAATAGAAATTTGATGACACATGTATGGATAACTCATGCTCCCACATAGTCGACAAAGACACAGTTACGTACTTAAAAGTTATTTAGGAAGAGGCCTTTAATGTTTGGACAGGTTTCCTTGAGGGTTTTTATGATAGAGATCCTCACTTAAAGAGAGCGAAATGCATGGGAGACACCTAGTTATACCTTATGGAATAAATTCTATTAAGATCTGAATCATTCTAAAGAGAGACCTTCTTCTTTGCAGTTGCAGGAGTAATCAGTGATGTTATAAAAATGATCATTAATGTTAGAAGCAACTGCAAGGTAGACATGTTTTTGTAGGACCTTATTGGCTACTGTGAGGACCATTGCGAGGGCCATTAAGTCATTCAGAGACTCTCAAAGAACTTCAACAAGCTCTCCAAGATATATTAGGAAATCATGAAGCTGATGCACGACTCTAACCCAGAGAACATCATTGAGTAATTTAAGATCTGTGTCCAGGTTGGGGGCAAGATAGGAGAGCTCTTTAGACTAGCTATAGGGTTCAGTATGAGTGATCAAGAATAAAAGTGAGGATTTTATATGAATGTACCAATCTGATAAAGATATTAAGAGTTGAGAGGAGATTAGAGTGAAACTAGATATTTTTGGAATAATCCTTCAATGAAATCTACCACTATAATTATTTAAGCATGCTTGATTGTATTTTTATCTTCCCGGGGATTTCACAATTCCTTCTGAATGGGGTTTTGGGGTTTTGGGGTTTTGGGG